GAAAGGATGGGTAGGATCCCCTGGGGGACTAACATGAAGGAGAAAGGAGTCCAGGAGAGCTGGCTGTATTTCAAGGAATCCCTGTTGAGGTTACAGGGACAAACCATCCCGATGTGTCGAAAGAATAGTAAATATGGCAGGCGACCAGCTTGGCTTAACGGTGAAATCCTAGCGGATCTTAAACATAAAAAAGAAGCTTACAAGAAGTGGAAGGTTGGACATATGACCAGGGAAGAGTATAAAAATATTGCTCGGGCATGTAGGAATGAAATCAGGAGGGCCAAATCGCACCTGGAGCTGCAGCTAGCGAGAGATGTCAAGAGTAACAAGAAGGGTTTCTTCAGGTATGTTGGCAACAAGAAGAAAGCCAAGGAAAGTGTGGGCCCCTTAATGAATGAGGGAGGCAACCTAGTGACAGAGGATGTGGAAAAAGCTAATGTACTCAATGCTTTTTTTGCCTCTGTCTTCACTAACAAGGTCAGCTCCCAGACTGCTGCGCTGGGCATCACAACATGGGGAATAGATGGCCAGCCCTCTGTGGAGAAAGAGGTGGTTAGGGACTATTTAGAAAAGCTGGACGTGCACAAGTCCATGGGTCCGGACGAGTTGCATCCGAGAGAGCTAAAGGAATTGGCGGCTGTGATTGCAGAGCCATTGGCCATTATCTTTGAAAACTCGTGGTGAACGGGGAAAGTCACGGATGACTGGAAAAAGGCTAATGTGGTGCCAATCTTTAAAAAAGGGAAGGAGGAGGATCCTGGGAACTACAGGCCAGTCAGCCTCTCCTCAGTCCCCGGAAAAATCATGGAGCAGGTCCTCAAAGAATCAATCCTGAAGCACTTACATGAGAGGAAAGTGATCAGGAACAGTCAGCATGGATTCACCAAGGGAAGGTCATGTCTGACTAATCTAATCGCCTTCTATGATGAGATTACTGGTTCTGTGGATGAAGGGAAAGCAGTGGATGTATTGTTTCTTGACTTTAGCAAAGCTTTTGACATGGTCTCCCACAGTATTTTTGTCAGCAAGTTAAAGAAGTATGGGCTGGATGAATGCACTATAAGGTGGGTAGAAAATTGGCTAGATTGTCGGGCTCAACGGGTAGTGATCAATGGCTCCATGTCTAGCTGGCAGCTGGTGTCAAGTGGAGTGCCCCAGGGGTCGGTCCTGGGGCCAGTTTTGTTCAATATCTTCATAAATGATCTGGAGGATGGTGTGGATTGCACTCTCAGCAAATTTGCGGATGATACTAAACTAGGAGGAGTGGTAGATACGCTGGAGGGCAGGGATAGGATACAGAGGGACCTAGACAAATTGGAGGATTGGGTCAAAAGAAATCTGATGAGGTTCAATAAGGATAAGTGCAGGGTCCTGCACTTAGGACGGAAGAACCCAATGCACCGCTACAGACTTGGGACCGAATGGCTAGGCAGCAGTTCTGCAGAAAAGGACCTAGGGGTGACAGTGGACGAGAAGCTGGATATGAGTCAGCAGTGTGCCCTTGTTGCCAAGAAGGCCAATGGCATTTTGGGATGTATAAGTAGGGGCATAGCGAGCAGATCGAGGGACGTGATCGTTCCCCTCTATTCGACATTGGTGAGGCCTCATCTGGAGTACTGTGTCCAGTTTTGGGCCCCACACTACAAGAAGGATGTGGATAAATTGGAAAGAGTCCAGGGAAGGGCAACAAAAATGATTAGGGGTCTGGAACACATGACTTATGAAGAGAGGCTAAGGGAACTGAGATTGTTTAGTCTGCAGAAGAGAAGAATGAGGGGGGATTTGATAGCTGCTTTCAACTACCTGAGAGGTGGTTCCAGAGAGGATGGTTCTAGACTATTCTCAGTGGTAGAAGAGGACAGGACAAGGAGTAATGGTCTCAAGTTGCAGTGGGGGAGGTTTAGGTTGGATATTAGGAAAAACTTTTTCACTAGGAGGGTGGTGAAACACTGGAATGCATTATCTAGGGTGGTGGTAGAATCTCCTTCCTTAGAAGTTTTTAAGGTCAGGCTTGACAAAGCCCTGGCTGGGATGATTTAATTGGGGATTGGTCCTGCTTTGAGCAGGGGGTTGGACTAGATGACCTCCTTAGGTCCCTTCCAACCCTGTCATTCTATGATTCTATGACTTGAGATAAGTCGCTGATTGTCCCTCTTTCTCAGTATGAGGCAGGAGCCCTCCCCTCTCGCGCGCTTCTGCTCGTGTTTCCTCTCAGTATCCCATTTCCCCACTTACCTCAGGGCTTTGGTTTCCTTCCCCCGGTGAACTTAGTTTAAAGCCCTCCTCACTAGGTTAGCCAGTCTGCTTGCGAAGATGCTCTTCCCTCTCTTTGTTAGGTGGAGCCCGTCTCTGCCTAGCACTCCTCCTCCTTGGAACACCATCCCATGGTCAAAGAATCCAAAGCCTTCTCTCCAACACCACCTGCGTAGCCATTTGTTGACTTCCACGATTTGACGGTCTCTACCCAGGCCTTTTCCTTCCATAGCAGTACACCACTGCCTCAGTCTTCTCGGTCAGATGGCACCATATACCTATGTAGTTTAGCATGCCAGATTACACCTCAGAAAGCTGCAGGCATGGCTAGCATCAGTGCATTCCCCAAGTTGCCACCATTTAGAGAAAATGGTTTGAATGCCAGCATTAGTTTTGTTATCTCTAGATTGGTGGGTGGACCCTCTAAAAGTTTGCGTGGGGGATTCCCTTTCTTCCCCCACTACCAACTCTCATTCTCATCACAGATGTGTCTCTTCTGGGTTGGGGAGCTCATATGGGGTCCCTGCAGACTTAAGGTCTTTGATCATTTCAAGATTTAGAGACTCTCATAAACATCAGGGTGTTATGAGTGGTACGTTTAGCCTGTGTGGCCTCCCTCTCCCACATAGTGGGGGAAAAAAATTAATTCTGGCTGTTTGATGGGTCATGTTCATGTAAACAGGAGGGGCAGGAAGTAGTTTGCCTCGGAGACTTCTGTATAGACAACTTAGTTCATTTCAGAGCTTATTACCTTCCAGAGAAACAGACCACGTTAGCAGATTAGCTGAGCAGATCCTTCTGCAGTCAGCATCAGTGGTCACTACATGCATATGTGTCAGGTCCATCTTCCAACTCTGGGGGACTCCCAAGTGAACAGGGAATGTCAGCAGCTCTGTTCCCAAGGGAGACTCAGCCCAGGCTTGTTGGCAGATGCTTTTCTTCTGTCCTGGAAGAAGTCTTTCCTGTGTGCTTTCCCTCTGATTCCTTTCCTTTCCTTTCCGAGACCTCTTAAAGTGAAACAAGACCATGCTCACCTCTTCCTTATAGCACCAGCGTTTCCTTATTAATACTGGTACTTGACCCTGATATCATTTTTGGTCAGACTGCCCATTGGATCCAGATGTAATTTCCCAGGACCATGAGTGCTTGCTTCATCCCAATTCAGCAGCATGGATGCTTTTATGGCTGACACCCTTTAAAAAGTCCTTCTCAAACGATATTCAGAAAGTGCTGTTGAATAGCATAAAACCCTCAACTAAGAGCACTTTCCTGGTGTGAAGTGGAAGCACTTCTCCACCTAGTGTTGTGCGAAAGGCGCATTTCCCTAGCAGGCACCCTTAGGCCTCATGCTGGACTGTCTACTACTCTGTCTACTACAGAGTTTGCTATTAGCTCAGTAAAGATGCATCTAGTGGCTAATTCAGCCCTCAGTGTCTTGGTGGATGATAGATCCCTTGTTCACACACCATCATCACACAGTTCCTACGGTGCTTGGTCAGATTATACCTCCCCATTCAAGACCACATCCTTCCTTGGGATCTGAACTTAATTCTAGCAAAATTCATTGGGAATCCCACTTTGAGCCCCTGGCAGCTTGCTCCCTCTTTCAGCTTTCCATGAAGGTAGCATTTCTTGTGGCAATTAACTCAGCCAGAAGGGTGGGAGGGTTGAGAGCTCAGGTGTCAGAGCCCCCCTACGGTTTTCCATAAGGAGAAGATATATCTCTATCCTCATCCAAAACTTCTCACGAAAGTAGTCTCTAATTTTCATGTTAACCAAGCAATCTGCTTGCCCATGTTCCTTCCAAAACTTCATGCACATAGGAATGAGGGAAAGCTTCACTCCTTGCATGCAAGAAGGGCTTTAGCTTTCTACCTGGACTGGACTAAATCTTTTAGATCCTATATGCAGTGGTTTGTAGCAGTTGCAAACAGAGCTAAGGGCTAACCAGTTTCTGCTCAGAAAATCCCATTTTGGATCTCTTCATGTATTTGTTTATGCTACCTACTGGCTAATACAATCCCTCCAGCGAGTGTATTTGGCGCATTCTACCAAAGCGCAGGCACCTTCTGCAGCTTTCTTGATGCAAGTGCAGATTGTAGACATTTGTAAAGCAGCCTCTTGGTCTTCAGTCCACACTTTTACTTCTGATTATGCCATTTCCTGTCAGTCCAGAGACTATGCCATTTTTGGATGGATGGTCTTACAATCTCTGTTCAGGCAGACTCCGAACCCACCTCCACGTGTGTTTGATTGTGTTACCTATAGTGGAATGGACGTGTGTAATCACTCGAAGAAAAAAAAATATTACTTACTGTTCTGTCACTGTTGCTCTTTGAGATGGGTTGCATATGTGCATTCCACATTGGAGTCTGTCCAGTATGAAGGAACTGAGAGGGGTTGGGGTGGCTCTGCCCTTTTATACCAGCATGCAGTAGCATGTGGCGACAGAGGGCGCTCCAGCAACTCTGACTGGTGCCACTGAGGGACAAAAATCTCCAACATCTGTGCATGGGGCATGCATGTATCTACGGTGGAATGTACATGTGTGACACATCTTAGACAACAACAGTTTCAAAAAGGTAGGTACCCGTTTTTTAATATAATTTTTTGTTTCGGTTATATGTTTACTTCTAACGTATAGCACTCTCTTAATTGTTGAATATTAAAATTTAGGAATAGTAGTCACTCCTTATAACAAAATCTTCAGAGTTAGTAACAAAAATTATCTCCACTCATCTTCCCAGTGTTTGTGTTTTCTGATCTTATGGTGGATGATCAGTCGGGGTATCCCAGAGAATTCAGAGAGAAATATATCATGTCAAAGACTTTGGGAAGGTAAGCACCATACTTACTAAAATACTTAGGACTTATTTTCCTTTAGTTCTGTGTGAATGGTATTGGAACTGTAACTAGTATTAACTATTTGCTATTATTTTAGTACTGTTTCAATAATGCTATCCTAGGCACTGTGGTAATAGAAACAAAAACATGGTGCTTTACAGACTAATAAAAGACGAAGGTCCAGATTCTCTCATCCTCCTCCTGCCACTTTTTGCCACTTAGGTGAAATCTGGCCTTAACTGGTCAGCTGAGAATTCGCTCAGTGTAGGGCAGTTTTCACCTGGCATATATCAGTGTAAGTGTCTCCTTTGCCAGGAGCCCCACCATATCCTGGCAAAATGGGCAGGAGTTGGGTGGAGCACACCTGAATTATGTCAATTCACAACTTGTGTATTTTCCATTAGAGGAGATCATAGCTGGTTAGCATAGCCTCTAAAATGCTCTGACTTAGATTAGTAGATCAATGCTGGTGCTTAGGCAGGAGGTATTATGCTATATATTATAAACCTGGATGCTAATACAATTATACAGGGGAGTCAGACTATGTGATCACAATGGTCCCTCTGACTTTCTAATAAATTAATAATATACTGTGAGAATCAAGGAGGTGTAACTTGCTTCCTAATGCACTCAGCTCAGGGAGTGTCTCTGTGCAGGAGAGAATCTGGGTGTGGACCTGTGTCCCGCTGTGTTTACATTAAGGTTAGTGTATGAAGGAAATGGGCAAGCACTGGCTAAATATGTGTGTGGGGAGAAACTGAAGACAAGATAATGTGGTTACTGAGGTGATTTTGATTTTTTTTTTAATCTGTCCTTCACTGTAGTTTCCTTCTGCTTTCCAGGGAGCACTTGTGTATGCAAATAAAGCTGTTAAAAGGAGGAGGTAGGATTTGAAGGCCTTGTTGAAGAAGTTTGTTTTGCGGAGAGTATTTGAAAAATTTTAGCATCAGTGATGGACAGTAGTTTACATTCTGTAGTGTTCTCCCTCGTAGAATTTTTCTGAGGTGTTAATAGGACAAATTAATTTTTCACTGCAAAGTGTTTTTACTCCTTAATGCAAAGTCCTTTTTTCAGTTGCCTGTCTTGTAAGTGGTTAGTTACTGCCTATTTGAAATATGGTACCCCTGAAAGTAAGTTCCCAACTCTGTCTGTAAAATAAGTCTTCTGTTCTGAATGTCCAAGGGTGAAATAGGTAGCTAACAGCACTCGTGGTAAATCTGAAATTTAGCAGATTTGTTCATTCATTCCCAATCTACATGGCTTTGACATCTCTTATTCTGCTGCTGGGCCATCAGAGTACGGGCTCCTCGGATTGCTGGGATTATAGCTGCCCGTTTGCTTGTTTCAGCTCTGAATGATGAAAACAGTTAAAACTGGAACTCTGAATTATGGCACACAGGTAGACCTATTTTCCTTAAAACAGCTGGGTTTGGTCCTCATGCTTCTAATTGACTTGGGTTTAAAACATACTTTTAATTGTGAAACTCAGATATATGATTGGGTACTCACAGTTCTTCGAGTGCTTGCTCATGTCGATTCCATTCTAGGTATGTGCATGACCACGTGCGTGGTCATTGGAGATTTTTGCCTTAGCGGTATCCGTAGGGCCAATTGTGACGCCTTCTGGAATGCCGCATTCATGCAGCGGTATATCAGGCGTTGTCTGTCCTACTCCTTCTCAGTTCCTTCTTATTGCCCGTGGTGGTTAGTCGGAGTGCCTTTCTTGCTTAACAAGAGCTAGTGTTTTTTTCTCCTACAAACTTTGTGCCTTAGGGCCTTTTATAAATAGTTTGTATAGTGTTAGTTAAGTAGTTGTTAAGTGTAGTTGTTAGGGGGTGAAAAGAAGTATCTTGTTCTGGCCAAAGGATCACAAGCAGGGTCACACCTCCTCGACACCCAAGAACAAAGAGGCCAAAAAGCTTGATCTCTTTGGGAGAAAAATTTATTTGACTACCAGCTTACAATTTCGGGTGATGAATCAAGTACTGTTGGGCAGATATAATTTTAATCTTTGGGACGGCCTCAAAAAGTTTCAGGAATCCCTCCTGCAGGGTTTGGTTCCAAGTAATAACAGACAGAACAAAGTAAATTACCAAACAAAATAAAATAAAACACGCAAATCTAAGCCTAATACAGTAGGAAACTAAATTAAAATAAATCTCACCCTCAGAGATGTTCCAATAAGCTTCTTTGACAGACTGGCTGCCTTCTAGTCTGGGTCCAGCAATCACTCATACCCCCCTAGCTACTGTCCTTTGTTCCAGTTTCTTTCAGTTATCCTTTGGGGTGGAGAGGCTATCTTTTGAGCCAGCTGAAGATAAAATGGAGGGGTTTCCCAGGGGTTTATGTAATCTCTCTCTTGTGGGTAGAAACCCCTCTATCCCCCTGTGTAGAATTACAGCTACATAATGGAGTTTCGGAGTCACATGGGCAAGTCACATGTCCATGCTTGACTCAGTTCTTTACAGACCAATGCCATTGTCCACATGCTAGTTTGAATGTTCCCAGGAAAGCTCAGATGTGCATTGGCGTCTATCAAGGTCCATTGTTAGCCAAGTACTCCCAATTACTTGAATAACCCCTTCCCACTATGTTGACCAGATTTGCCTTAGGTGCTTCCTACAGCGAACGCTTTAAATACAAGCATAGAGCCAACACTCATAACTTCAGATATAAAAATGATACATGTATACGAATAGGATGAATACATTCAGTAGAACATAACCTTTGAAAAGATACGTTACATGGCGAATGTAGCATAAAACATTCCATTTGTCATATTTACATTCATAAGCATATTTCTATAAAGCATTATGGGGTGCAACGGCACACACTAACACCAGTTCAACACATAGAGTTTATTGGAGCGGTTCTTGACTGCACGTGGGCCAGGGCCTTTCTCCTGGAAACACGTTTTCAGGCCATGTTGGACCTGATATCTCATGTAAGGAGCCATCCGCTCACCATGGCCCCCACCTGCCTGCGATTGATGGGCCACATGGCCGCGTGCATGTACATGGTCATCCCTGCTCGACTTCATCTTCAGCCTCTGCAAGCGTGGCTGGTCTCGGTCTATATCCCCAGCAGGCACCTCCTGTCTCTCTGGCAGAGTTGTCGGCAATTAGGAACTGAAAGGGCATAGGGCTGGCGGCGCCGGTTATACCAACGCATGAGTGCAGCTCTCCAGAGCATGCCACGGCTGGCCCTACGGAAGCCGCTAAGGCAAAAATCTCCTACGACTGCACACATGAGTGCGCACACACCTAGAATGGAAGAGACATGAGCAACATTTCTCATAGTTACGAAAGGTAGATAACCGTTTTTTTAGGAACAGAAAGTCAGGTTTGAAATAGTTGGCTGGCAGTCAAGTTACTTTCTGAATCAGTATCCCTCTTCTACCCCATGGTTGCAAGCAGGGGGAAGAACTGAAGGTCAGAGTGTAACCCCTTGCGGGACATCACTATTTGGGTCCTCAAGTAAAAAAGAGAGAAATGGTGACCTGATTTCTTTTAATATAAAATGCCTTTAAAGTGGAATTTTCCCCCAAAGCCTTTGTAGGTCATAGAAGAGCAGCAAAGTGAAAACAGAAATCTGAGTGGATTTGTACGGATTTCCTCATATAATCTCATAATCAAAAATAAATGTGTTGCTATACGTACTGCTCAGTGTTGTGCAACCTTATGGTGCAGGACTTTATGTATTATAATGTCCTTTTGCCACTGGGCTATATTAATGGGGGCTGGGTGGGCTTTGTGAGCTTAAGTCAAAACCGTAGAGATACATTTTGAGAGTTTGTTGTTGTGTTTTTAGCCATTTGTGCAGCTGAAATGCCAACAGTGCTTGTCCTCTGTATTCTCTTAATAGCTTTCAGTTTGGAGTTTTGGTTGTAATTTGATTTCTATATTAGAACATTGGTGGCTACCAGCATCTATCCTAATCTAATGTGCCTACTACCGATGTGTCTAAATACTGCACACCCAGTCAGCTGCATTCAATGGGTTAGGAGACAGCAGCATTCTAATCACATGTAATACTCAAGTAGCAAACACGTTCTGTGTTTGATCTATTTTTATTTGTCACCAACATATTGAAAAGTGCTTGCAAGCTTTAACATAACTAAATTTTTATATTAGTGGTGCCTGTGGAGAGGTTAAATTGGCATTTGAGAGGACCACGTGTAACAAAGTTGCTGTAAAGATAATCAATAAACGGAGATTTATAACAAGCGCTGTGAGTGACACAGTAAGTATCTATTTTTCAGCTATCTTGCAGTGATTCTGAAGTATTTGGTAGTCCTTTGTGAACATTATAAATGTTTATTGCTATAATTTAAGGTTTTCTGGATTCAGATGTATTTTTGTAATGTGTGAAGTTTTGTGTATATTTATATTTAAAAAAATAAATCAAACCACAGCATTTGTAAGAAATTAAGTGTATTAAACAATTAAGATTAGTTAATAGTCTAGGGCAAATGGTCTTGGTGTTAAATATGGCTAGAGGCAGACTCCTTTTGTTACCTCTCCTCTGAGATGGAAGGATCCTTCACATCTTGTTGGGACAGACTATAGTGAGTTTTTCCAGAAGCAGCCCCAGATCCAAAAGTATTTTAAATCAAAGCTTATTTAGACAATCAAGAAAAGCTCCAGTTAACTCCACGATAAATGTTACAAGAAATATGCACAGGTCTAAGGATCTCTCGCTCTGGTAGGCCCAAATCCTGAAAGTGTCAGAAGAGGGGGATTGGAAAAAAAAATTCCACTTCCAGAGTTCTGTGCCTGCAGTTCCTTTCAGGCTAATTATTTCATCCCTCTCTCCCTTACGCGGTGCATCTCAGACCAGCAACAGCTGTCAGTTTCCTTCCTCGCTTTGTTAATGTTTCCAGGTGCTTATTATCTTACTAGCCAAGAAGATACCTTTTGTATTTGCATCTTGACAATAAGATTTGTACAACTATGCTATTCTGGAAACATTTATCTGGTACGAGAATAGCCAGTTAGCTACCATGTTTATTCCCCACTCTCTCCTCCTCCCCCCCCCCCGGCTCTCCTGCTGGTAATAGCTCACCTTACCTGATCACTCTTGTTACAGTGTGTATGGTAACACCCGTTGTTTCGTGTTCTCTATGTATATAAATCTCCCCACTGTATTTTCCACTGAATGCATCCGATGAAGTGAGCTGGAGCTTACGAAAGCTTATGCTCAAATAAATTTGTTAGTCTCTAAGGTGCCACAAGTACTCCTTTTCTTTTTTTGTTTCTGTTGCATTTATAGTTACATTTTTCTTTATATAAACCTTGGTCGTTTACTTGTTAAGGGCTCCTTGATTATGGGGTATGTACAAAGAAGAACTCAGTGGACTATATCTCCCATGATGTACCAAGAGGTGAGACCGTGTTGCATTGTGAAAGATGTAGTCTAACCAGGGAGCCCAACCACACAGGAGAATGGGAGCCTTAGGCACCCGAACTATAACTCCCATGAGATGTACTGTGGCAGCATTTCAGAATAAATTTGTTTTAGTTTGGGGCCAAAATGTTAAATTTTTTGTTTTTTCGTCAAATACATCAAAATTTCCCATGGAAGATTTCAAGTTAAGGAATTCTTTTTCCATTTTTGTTGAAATTGTCTGCAGGAGATTTTTTTTTTTCTGATGAGCTCTGCTATTTACATTGTAGCCACCTTAAAATTATTAGGATGGAGCAAATGTATGTTGTGTTTTCATAGGTACATTGCTGCAAAAGTCCATTTATAAACAGTATTACTGCTTGTTCTCTCTGACACTTCATTTCTCTTTAAATAGGATCCAGCTTTTAATGTTAATACAGAAATTGAGATTTTGAAGAAAATAAATCATGTGAGTATAGTCTTAAAATCTGATTTATCTTTTAATGTATATTCTGATTTTCTTGCTTGCTCATCTTCTTTTGAGGTTTCTATAGTCTGGTAACTAATGCTTCAGTTACAGTTAGGAGAAACAGCTTCTTAATTTTAATTTTGTCTTTTCCTGATTGGGTAGCAATGGTCACTTATTTTGCCTATTGTAGATAACGTTACAAAGCACTTTCTGTTCTACCCCATATCTTTATATGCTTGTTGTAACTATTCCAAAACTTGCATCTTTGAAATTGAAATTTGGATTGAAATTTTCTTTACTTGGTCTCTGTTTGAACCACTGATCAGAAAATAAGACTTTCCTTGATACATCTTTCTGTGAATATTGCTAGATGGCCAAGCTTGCTGACCTAGCTTTGGCCTTGACCAAATCTCCACAGAACCATGTGGTTGAAACTGCTTCGGCTCAGAGACCCTAATCCATGGTAGTCAATTTTTTCTTTTTTTTTTTTTTTTTTTTTGTTCTTGTCAAGGTCCATACTCCAGAGGAAATAATACCCCCCCCCAAAAAAAATTGATAAGTAAATAACATTTTGGGGTCTATTCAAAAACGTCTGGTGGTCCAGATTAGGCCCATGGTGCACCTACTGACTACCCTTGTCTAGTCAATCAGAACATCCAGTGTGGGAATCTTCAGATCTGAGTTAATTCGATAACATTGTTTGAAACTTTCCATTGACTTAAATAATAAACCCCACAAAAGTAGTACACTTCCAAATATCTTAGACACACCATCAATGTGAAATTGAGTAAATTTAATGGAAAAAAATTAGGTCTTATACCTGCTCCTGAATTCCTTTGGCAATTTTAGTGGATTTACTAAATTTTACCCTTTTTCCTGTTTTTTTTTTTTAAATATTCTCTCTCCCTTTTGCTGTATGTCAACCCTCCACAAAAGGGGAACTCAAGTACAGTGGAATAGTATAATTGATTAGACAGAATGCATTGGCATAGCTGTGTGGGAACTCATCATAAGAATAACAAGGGGGTTTCAGATTGTGATTGAGGTTCATCGAGAGAAATGTTTTGGGGGAAAACTTCCATGGCACATGTCTGCACTAAGCAGTCAACTTGTCACATTAGTCTCACTACAATTAATATAAAATTCACTTGCATTTTTTTAAAAAGAGAAACCTATATCAGCATAGTGTCCTGCCACGTATACTTTGGATTGTGCACCATTCTGAAATTATTTTCTTGGGTAATATTTTCTTGTAATATTAGTTTTCATAAAATGATTGTGTCGTTTTATTGTTTCCTTCCTCTTTTGCTAGCCCTGCTTAATCAAGATAAAAAACTTCTTTGATGCAGAAGATTATTATATTGTTTTGGAATTGTAAGTAATTTGCATTCAATTTGTTCCAGAGTAAATGTTTTACCGCCTTAAATAAAATAATATAATTTTAATAACTTGAACCTGACTTTGTGATGATCTCAGATGCTGTCGAAACCCTTGGTAAAACTGGGGGTTAGGATAGACAGGAAAGTCATTCTTTTGGAGCTGCAGAGGCACTCCACTTCGGCAGGATTCTCTGCCCTGTCATCCTGATCAGTTGCAGCTGATGTGGTGGATCACATAAGTAGAGAGAGTCTCAAAAAGAGCACAGGCCTGGATTATTGAGAGCTTTATTGTTCGAGGTCTGCTTCTTAACCTGGATCTGGAACTTGTTGGGGAGCCAGAGAAGGTAAGTGGGTGGCCAGATGGTGAGCCAGTTGCAGCTTCTGCATGGCCTTCATTGTCAGTCCCAGGTAGTACAATCTGAAGATGATGAGAGCATGGATTGCTGTAGCTGCAGGTTTGTGTGATAAGAAGGGTGAAGTCTCCTGGCTACCCAAAGGGGATAGAAGGTGTTCCAAGGCTTTGTGCTACATTGACAAGCAATGGCCAGATGGTCTTTTAGGAGATGAACTTCCTTGTAATAGTGCTTCTGCTTTCCTATTAACATCACCTCCATCTTTTCTGGATTTAGTTTCAGCTAGCTCAAGACCATTTATTTTTACTGTGCAGGTCACGTTTAAGAATTTATACACGTGTGCCAAATGAATATACTTTACTTTTCATTGGGGTCTTTTCTTTTAGAGAAGCTTTTCAGTCTCAGGCTTTCCCAGTGAGGTCTAACTTCTGAAACCAGTATATTGAATCTCTTTCTGTATTTCTGTTTCAGGATGGAAGGAGGAGAGTTATATGACAGAGTGTCGAGATCAATGAAGATGAAAGAAGCTACCTGCAAGCTCTATTTTTATCAGATGTTGTTGGCTGTAAAGGTAAATATTTCTGAATGTGTATAAAGAAAAATATGATTTTTCTCTGACTGTGCAATCAGTGCATCCGATGAAGTGAGTTGCAGCTCACGAAAGCTTATGCTCAAATAAATTTGTTAGTCTCTAAGTGCCACAAGTCCTATTTTTCTTTACTTCTATCATTTGTGCTTGCATGTATTTTTACAGCAGTAAATGGAATCTTCTCCTTATTCATAGAAGAGATTTAGGCCAGCGTTCCTTTAGCTGCTACGCTAACCAACCTGGAAAGGATCCATTCTCTTCCACAGGCGTTTTAATCTGGCCCTCAAGTTCCCACTGGGGAGCGGGATCTGGTGCTTGCCCCACTCTGGCGCTTCAGCCAGTGAGCAGGGACGGGGGGCTGTTCCACGCAGCTCCCGGAAGCAGCGGTATGGCCCCCCTCAGGCTCCTTCGCGTAGAGGTAGCCGGGGGAATCCGCTCTGCACGCTGCCCCCACCCCAAGCACCGTCAGACCCACCCCCAGAAACCTCCCCCAGCTGCAGGAAGCTCAGCATCCTCTCCTGCTTCTGGCCCCCATTACTCCTCAGCTGCGGAGGGAGGGGTCACTGTATGGGGGGACTGCTCCCCCGTCCACCCAACCGCTGTGCATCTGGACCTCCCATACCCAGACACCCCGGCCACGGCTCACCCTATACACCCAGATATCCCCCCCTAGCCATCCAAACCCCCTCCTCACTGAACCTCAACCCCTGCATCTGGAGCTCCCCTGCCTCCAGACCCCAACCCCTGCAGCCACCCCACCCCACACTGAACTCCCTGCACTCAAACCCCCACCCTGATGAGCCCCACCCCCTGCACCACCCTGAGTCCCCATCCCCAGACCCCCACACCACTGACCCCCCAACTAGCTGCAACCCAGACTCCCACCAAGCCCCATTCTCCCAGCACCCAGAACCCCCTGTTGAAACACCCAGACCCCTCCACTGAGCCCCAACCATATTCACCTGGAAGCCCCTGCAAAGTCCCATTGCCCCTGCTCCTGGAACCCTCCAAATGAGCCTCTGTGCATCCAGATCCTGCCCCCCCAACACCTGAGACTCCCACACTGAGCTGCCTGCACCCAGATTGTCTCCCACAGAATCCTCTCACTCCACACCTGGATCTTCCCCCCCACTGAGCCCCTTCACACTTGGATCCTTCCTGGTTGAGTCTGCCTGCCCCACATGTGGTGCTCCTGGCACAGAGGGGCAGGGCCCCAGGGTATTTCTTGGGCAGGTCCAGGCCTTGTGCTGTATCAGGGTCGAGTACATCCTCATCACTCAATCTGTGTACCGGGGTGGAGGGTGAGGAGGCTGCAGGGTGATCTCCCACCTGCATACAGCCAGTGTCCAGTGCTCCCCGCTGCCATGCTGGAGCCTCTGCATTTATTTATTGACAAATAAAGCTTGCAGAATATTGCAGGCTTTTAAAATATGTGCAGAATTTTTAATTTTTTGGTGCAGAATGCCCTCAGGAGTAACAGACTGGACCCCTGTCTCAGTCTGGACTCACCCCTGCCTTTCCCTTCAGGTTGGTTTCTTTGTCCCCTAGGAGAGTCTGGAATGCCTTCCCTCCCAGCCTTAAATAGAATTTACATAAGGCAGTTCCTAAACTTGACCACCACCTCCTGCCAGTGGAAAATTACTAGAAGTCAAATATAGTCTTGTTGTTCCTTCCTAGTGGACCATCAAATCTGATGGCCTGTCGTCTGGTGGATGTCTTCCCAATATATACCCAGTTGTAATTGTTACACAGTCCATATTGCTAACTTTAGATACAGAAATGATGCATGCATACAAATCGGATAATCACATTCAGTATATCATAACCTAAAGTACAAACAATTATGTCATATCCATATCATAATAATATTTCCATAAAGAATATGGAGTATAATGTCACATCCCCACTATATAAATTGTTCCAACACCACTGTGTAGTGGTGTTTGCCTTGGCAAACTAAGGCAGGGAAATGTACTTAATTTAAGAGGGTTTGAACACAGAAAAAGAGATTGGATCTTAATATCAAAAAAGAGATTGAGGACCAAAATTCCTTCGTGTTATCATGAAGAATCTGTTTTGATAATGACAGGTTTCAGAGTAACAGCCGTGTTAGTCTGTATTCGCAAAAAGAAAAGGAGTACTTGTGGCACCTTAGAGACTAACCCATTTATTTGAGCATGAGCTTTCGTGAGCTACAGCTCACTTCATCCGATGAAGTGAGCTGTAGCTCACGAAAGCTCATGCTCAAATAAATGGGTTAGTCTCTAAGGTGCCACAAGTACTCCTTTTCTTTTTGTTTTGATAATGTGGCATATGGATGATGAACTGCAGGGAAGGCACAGCTTTCCTGTTCTACATAGTCTACCTGTGGAGATTAGAAGCTGCTGTGTAGCATCTGACAAATATTTTAAATCTTTTTTCAGAGTAGCAGCCGTGTTAGTCTGTATTCGCAAAAAGAAAAGGAGTACTTGTGGCACCTTAGAGACTAACACATTTATTTGAGCATAAGCATAAGCTTTTCCATCGGATGCATTCAGTGGAAAATACAGTGGGGAGATTTATATACATAGAGAACATGAAACAATGGGTGTTACCATACGCACTGTAACCAGAGCGATCACTTAAGGTGAGCTATTACCAGCAGGAGAGCAGCGGGGGGAAAAAACCTTTTGTAGTGATAATCAAGGTGGGCCATTTCCAGCAGTTGATAAGAACGTGGAATAACACTCTGCTTCTCTTACGTATGTCAGTAGTCTTAATCATGGAGTCATGACCAACAACAACATTCTTGTCAGCTGCTGGAAATGGCCTACCTTGATTATCACTACAAAAGGTGTCTCCCCCCCACTCTCCTGCTGGTAATAGCTCACCTTAAGTGATCTCTCTCGTTACCGTGTGTATGGTAACACCCATTGTTTCATGTTCTCTATGTATATAAATCTCCCCACTGTATTTTCCACTGAATGCATCCGATGAAGTGAGCTGTAGCTCACGAAAGCCTATGCTCAAATAAATTTGTTAGTCTCTAAGGTGCCATAAGTACTCCTTTCTTTTTAAATCTTTTTGTGAACCATATAGCTTCAAATACACACTTTTCAAATGAATCTGTTTGTTACTTGCATCATCATCATTGGAAAGACTTGGAAGTTCACATTTTAATGCATGCATTCTGTGTTCTGTGTGTGTGTTTGTTTGCATAGTATCTTCATGAAAATGGTATTATACATCGGGATCTAAAGCCAGAGAATGTGCTACTTTCATCTTCTGAAGAAACTTGTCTTATAAAGGTGAGGAAGAAACTTCTATCTCTGCATTTTTTTTCTTTTATTTTGATGTTCTTTATTCAAAACTTTGGAATGTTCTTCAGCAATTCTTCTCTAAATATTAAATTCCAACACACAAAAGTTAACATGGCATTAAGATTGCTGATGCGCATTCCTAAATAATAGAGGCTAAAAATACAGGAAATCTTGAGTTAAAGTTCTTTCACAAACTTTAGAAATCACTTCCTCTCTCCTGAATATTTCAATCAATATATACACAAAAGTATGAATAAGAATTTTCGCATTTAATATTTCACATAGTAATCAGTGGAATAACACTCTGCTTCACTTGCGTATGTCAGTAGTCTTAATCATGGAGTCATGACCAACATTACGGTAATTATCCATGCTGTTTGGTGTCTTGCTGTGTTTTTGCCTGAGAGACTTAAGTATTGAGTAGGTTTGGAGATTGAACCATTGCTGTACATGAAATAGTCTCTCCAGGGTAGCCATGAATCCATTGTGCTGCTACTTATGCTTTTCCTCCATCTGGGGATAAATAGAATACTTCAAACTGGTGTTCAATCCAACACTCTTTGCTAGCACTAAAACTCAAACCTCTCTGTCCCAACCCCCCCACAAAATGAGTCTCTTGTTCTGCTGAGTTTTCTGCTGAAGTCCTCTGCTGGGTAGAGCTTAGTACATAGTTGTGTACTGGCAAAATACCTTGGAAATTAGAGCCATAAATCTCTCTCCTGATACTTGCTAACTAATATAGTGTATTCTAGTATGTGTTAAAATAAAAACTGACTTAGTGTTATTCTCATAAACAAGATTACAGATTTTGGACAATCCAAGATTCTTGGAGAATCATCACTAATGAGAACATTATGTGGTACTCCCACGTATCTCGCCCCTGAAGTTCTCAATTCACTTGGGACAGCTGGGTATAGCCGTGCTGTGGACTGCTGGAGTTTAGGAGTTATTCTTTTTGTATGGTAAGAAACTTCATGGCTGGCAGTTCAGTTGAACAGTCATACATGGGTGGAGGTCTTAGGCCTTTATTTAAGTACGTTTGCTAATGAGTGTGTGTGTCCCATTTTCAATCCTGGAACAGATGTTGTGAAATGCATATTCGCATTAAGGTGGATAGAAAGTTGGCTAGATTGTCGGGCTCAACGGGTAGTGATCAATGGCTCCATGCCTAGTTGGCAGCCGGTATCAAGTGGAGTGCCCCAAGGGTCGGTTTTGTTCAATATCTTCATAAATGATCTGGAGGATGGTGTGGATTGCACCCTCAGCAAGTTTGCAGATGACACTAAACTGGGAGGAGAGGTAGATACACTGGAGGGTAGGGATAGGATACAGAGGGCCCTAGACAAATTAAAGGATTGGGCCAAAAGAAATCTGATGTGGTTCAACAAGGACAAGCGCAGAGTCCTGCACTTAGGACGGAAGAGTCCCATGCATCGCTACAGACTAGGGACCGAATGGCTAGGCAGCAGTTCTGCAGAAAAGGACCTAGGGGTTACAGTGGATGAGAAGCTGGATATGAGTCAACAGTGTGCCCTTGTTGCCAAGAAGGCCAATGGCATTTTGGGATGTATAAGTAGGGGCATTGCCAGCAGATCGAGGGACATGATCGTTCCCCTCTATTCGACATTGTTGAGGCCTCATCTGGAGTACTGTGTCCAGTTTTGGGCCCCACTTTACAAGAAGGATGTGGAAAAATTGGAAAGAGTCCAGCGGAGGGCAACAAAAATGATTAGGGGACTGGAACATATGACTTAATGAGGAGAGGCTGAGGGAACTGGGATTGTTTAGTCTGCGGAAGAGAAGAATGAGGGGGGATTTGACAGCTGCTTTCAACTACCTGAAAGAGGGTTCCAAAGAGGATGGCTCTAGACTGTTCTCAGCGGTAGCAGATGACAGAACAAGGAGTAATGGTCTCGAGTTGCAGTGGGGGAGGTTTTTCACTCGGAGGGTGGTGAAGCACTGGAATGCGTTACCTAGGGAGGTGGTGGAAAATCCTTCCTTTGAGGTTTTTAAGGTCTGGCTTGACAAAGTCCTGGCTGGGATGATTTAGTTGGGGATTGGTCCTGCTTTGAGCAGGGGGTTGGACTAGATGACCTTCTGAGGTCCCTTCCAACCCGGATATTCTATGATTCTACAACAGTCAGGCTTTCAACTGCTGTAGCAAAAGCTGCATTATCCATTATATTTGTTTCTCTTTTATTTAGCCTGTGTGGATATCCACCATTCAATGAACAAAATACTCAGCTATGTCTGAAAGATCAAATTACCCGTGGAGAATATACATTTATTCCAAGAGAATGGAAGCATGTGTCAGATATGGGTATGTTTACATTACAATGGCTGTAGAAGTATTTTGCTGACCCTCTAAAGTTTCTGCTGTGCCTTAATTGGTATCTTTGGGTGCGTCTACATTTCAGCTAGGAGGTGTGAATCCCAGTTCTCAGAGACACCTGCACTAGCTCTGCTTCAGCTAGTGCACTAAAAATAGTAGCATTGCTGAAGTAGCACCAGCATTGGCTTGGGCTTGTTGCCCAAGTATGTACCCAGGGATCTGCGCTTGCTGATCAATTAAGGTGGGTAGCCTTAATTGATAAGAGCCCACCTTAATTGATTAGTCTCGTAAGAGTTGGTATGGCAACACTCATTTTTTCTTGTTCTTTGTCTGTCTGTCTGTCTATCTTCCTACTGTATTTTCCACTGCATGCATCCGATGAAGTGGGTTTTAGCCCACGAAAGCTTATGCCCAAATAAATTTGTTAGTCTCTAAGGGTATGTCTACACTATGAAATTAGGTCAACTTTATAGAAGTTGGTTTTTTAGAAATCGTTTTTATATCGTTGATTGTGTGTGTCCCCACACAAAATGCTCTAAGTGCATTAAGTGCATTAACTCGGCAGAGTGCTTCCACAGTACCGAGGCTAGCGTCGACTTCCGGAGCATTGCACTGTGGGTAGCTATCCCACAGTTCCCGCAGTCTCTGCCGCCCATTGGAATTCTGGGTTGAGATCCCAATGCCTAATGGGGCGAAAACATTGTCATGGATGGTTCTGGGTACGTGTCGTCAGGCCCACCCTCCCTCCTGCCCTCTGTGAAAGCAATGGCAGACAATTGTTTCGCACCTTTTTTCCTGGGTTACCTGTGCAGACACCATACCACGGGAAACGTGGAGCCCACTCAGCTCACTGTCACCATACGTCTCCTGGGTATTGGCAGATGCGGTACTGCATTGCTATGCAACAGCAGCTCATTGCCTTGTGGCAGCAGACGGTGCAATAGGCCTGATAACCATCGTCGTCATGTCCTAGGTGCTCTTGGCCACCTCGGTGAGGTCGGTCAGGAGCGCCTGGGGAGACATGGGCACAGGGACCTAAATAGAAAGAGTCGACCAGGTCATTCTCTTTAGTCCTGCTGTCAGTCTATTATACCGTCTTCTGCTGAGCAGCCAGGAGATGGGGATGGCTAGCAGTCCTGCTGCACCGTCTACTGCCAGCCTAAGATGTAAAAAATAGATGGAGTGGATCAAAACAAGAAATAGACGAGATTTGTTTTGTATTAATTTGCTCCTCCTCACTCCCTCCCTCCCTCCATGAAATCAACGACCGACAGTCGTTTCAGTGAGGTCTGTCGGGGCACCTTGAAAAGTTTAATGGAGATTCAGTCCTGCCTGGAGGGGGAGGGATAGCTCAGTGGGTTGAGCATTGGCATTTTGAGTTCAATCCTTGAGGGGGCCATTCTGTGTGACAGTTGTTTTTGTTTCTCCTTGATGTAAAGCCACCCCCTTTATTGATTTTAATTCCCTGTAAGCCAAACCTGTAAGCCATGTCGTCAGTTTCCCCTCCCTCCGTCAGAGCAATGGCAGACAACCGTTCTGTGCCTTTTTTCCGTGCAGACGCCATACCACGGCAAGCATGGAGCCCGCTTAGATCACTTTGGCAGTTATGAGCACATTAAACACCACGTGCATTATTCAGCAGTATCTGTAGCACCAGAACCTGCCAAAGCGAAACCGGGCGAATAGGTGATGTCAGCGCAGTAACGAGAGTGATGAGGACATGGACACAGACTTCTGTCAAAGAACGGGCCTTGGCAATGTGGGCATCATGGTGCTAATGGGGCAGGTTCATGCCGTGGAACGCCGATTCTGGGCTTGGGAAACAAGCACAGACTGGTGGGACCGCATAGTGTTGCAGGTCTGGGACGATTCCCAGTGGCTGCGAAACTTTCGCATGCATAAGGGCACTTTCATGGAACTTTGTGACTTGCTTTCCCCTGCCCTGAAGCGCAAGAATACCAAGATGAGCGCAGCCCTCACAGTTGAGAAGCGAGTGGCAATAGCCCTGTGGAAGCTTGCAATGCCAGACAGCTACTGGTCAGTTGGGAATCAATTTGGAGTGGGCAAATCTACTGTGGGGGCTGCTGTGATGCAAGTAGCCAACACAATCAAAGATCTGCTGATATCAAGGGTAGTGACTCCTGGGAAATGTGCAGGTCATAGTGGATGACTTTGCTGCAATGGGATTCCCTAACTGTGGTGGGGCCATAGACGGAACCCATATCCCTATCTTGGCACCGGAGCACCAAGGCAGCGAGTACATAAACCGCAAGGGGTACTTTTCAGTGGTGCTGCAATCACTGGTGGATCACAAGGGACGTTTCACCAACATCAACGTGGGATGGCCGGGAAAGGTACATGACGCTCACATCTTCAGGAATTCTGGTCTGTTTCAAAAGCTGCAGGAAGGGAGTTTCTTCCCAGACCAGAAAATAACCGTTGGGGAGGTTGAAATGCCTATAGCTATCCTTGGGGACCCAGCCTACCCCTTAATGCCATGGCTCATGAAGTCATACACAGGCAGCCTGGACAGTAGTCAGGAGCTGTTCAACTATAGGCTGAGCAAGTGCAAAATGGTGGTAGAATGTGCATTTGAGTGTTTAAAAGCGCGCTGGCGCAGTTTACTGACTCGCTTAGACCTCAGCGAAACCAATGTTCCCACTGTTATTACTGCTTGCTGTGCGCTCCACAATATCTGTGAGAGCAAGGGGGAGATGTTTATGGCGGGGTGGGAGGTTGAGTCAAATTCCCTGGCCGCTGGTTACGCGCAGCCAGACGCCAGGGCGGTTAGAAGAGCACAGGAGGGCGTGGTGCTCATCAGAGAAGCTTTGAAAACTATTTTCATGACTGGACAGGCTACAGTGTGAAAGTTCTGTTTGTTTCTCCTTGATGAAACACCTCCCCCCCACCCCTTGGTTCACTCTACTTCCCTGTAAGCTAAGTACCCTCCCCTCCCCCCTTCGATCACCGCTTGCAGAGGCAATAAAGTCATTGTTGCTTCACATTCATGCATTCTTTATTAATTCATCACACAAATAGGGGGATAACTGCCAAGGTAGCCCGAGAGGGGTGGGGGAGGAGGGAAGGACAAGGCCACACTGCACTTTAAAACTTAAAAGCTTAAAAAAATTAAAACATTGAATGCCAGCCTTCTGTTGCTTGGGCAATCCTCTGGGGTGGAGTGGCTGGGTGGCCAGAGGCTCCCCCGCTGCATTCTTGGGCATCTGGGTGAGGAGGCTATGGAACTTGGGAAGGAGGGCGGTTGGTTACACAGGGGCTGTAGCGGCGGTCTGTGCTCCTGCTGCCTTTCCTGCAGCTCAACCGTACGCTGGAGTATATTAGTTTGATCCTCCAGCAGCCTCAGCATTGAATCCTGTCTCCTCTCATCATGCTGCTGCCACCTATCATCTTCAGCCCGCCACCTCTCCTCGCGTTCATGTTGTGCTTCCTGCACTCTGACATTGTCTGCCTCCACTCATTGTGCTGTGCTCTGTCAGTGTGGGAGGACAGCATGAGGTCAGAGAACATTTAATCGCAACTGCGTCTTTTTCGCCTTCTAATCTTCGCTAGCCTCTGGGAAGGAGAAGATACAGTGATCCTTGAAACACATGCAGCTGGTGGAAGGAAAAAAAGGGACAGTGGTATTTAAAAAGACACATTTTATAGAACAATGGGTACACTCTTTCATGGTAAACCTTGCTGTTAACATTACATACATAGCACATATGCTTTCGTTACAAGGTTGCATTTTGCCTCCCCGCACTGCGTGGCTAACCCCTCCCCCCGCCACATGGCTAACAGTGGGGAACAACAGAGGAACGAGCACCTCTGAATGTCCCCTTAATAAAAGCACCCTATTTCAACCAGGTGACCATGAATGATATCACTCTCCTGAGGATTACACAGAGAGATAAAGAACGGATGTTGTTTGAATGCCAGCAAACATACTCTGCAATGCTTTTTTCTGCAATGATTCCCGATTACGTGCTACTTGCCTGGTGTGGTAAAGTGTCCTACCATGGTGGACGGAATAAGGCTGCCCTCCCCAGAAACCTTTTGCAAAGGCTTTGGGAGTACATCCAGGAGAGCTTTATGGAGATGTCAGTGGAGGATTTCCGCTCCATCCCCAGATACGTTAACAGACTTTTCCACTAGCTGTACTGGCCGTGAATGTTAGGGCAAATTAATCATTAAACACGCTTGCTTTTAAACCATGTATATTATTTAAAAAGGTACACTCACCAGAGGTCCCTTCTCCGCCTGGCGGGTCTGGGAGGCAGCTTTGGGTGGGTTTGGGGAGTACTGGGTCCAGGTCCAGGGTGAGAAACAGTTCCTGGCTGTCGGGAAAACCGGTTTCTCTGCTTGCTTGCTGTGAGCTATCTTCAGCCTCCTCCTCCTCATCTTCCTCATCCCCAAAACCTGCTTCCGTGTTGCCTCCCACTCCATTGACGGAGTCAAAGCACAGGGTTGGGGTAGTGGTGGCTGCACCCCCTAAAATGGCACGTAGGTAATCATAGAAGCGTCATGTTTGAGGCTCTGACCCGGAGCGGCTGTTTGCCTCTCCGGTTTTTTGGTAGGCTTGCCTCAGCTCCTTAAGTTTCATGCGGCACTGCTTCTCTTTCTGCAACTGTTATGGCCTCTGTCCTTCATGCCCTGGGAGATTTTTACAGATGTTTTGGCATTTCGAAAACTGGAATGGAGTTCTGATAGCACGGATTCGTCTCCCCCTACAGAGATCAGATCCCGTACCTCCTGTTCGGTCCATGCTGGAGCTCTTTTGCAATTCTGGGACTCCATCATTGTCACCTCGGTTGATGAGCTCCGCATGGCCACCTCTGCTGATGAGCTGTGCACTCACCTGCAGCTTACCATGCTGGCCAAACAGGAAATGAGATTCAAAAGTTCGCGGGCCTTTTCCTGTCTACCTGGCCAGTGTATCTGAGTTGAGAGTGCTGTCCAGAGTGGTCACAATGGAGCACTCTGGGATAGCTCCTGGAGGCCAATACCATCAAATTGCGTCCACAGTACCCCAAATTTGACCCGGCAAGGCCGATTTCAGCGCTAATCCCCTTGTTGGGGGTGGAGTAAAGAAATCGATTTTAAGGGCCCTTTACGTTAAAAAAAGGGCTTCATCGTGTGGACAGATGCAGGGTTAAATCGATTTAACGCTGCTAAATTTGACCTCAACTCCTATTGTGCCACAAGTACTCCTCGTTCTTTGTACTCAGAACAGTCTTTTAACAGTGAATGTGTGAAATAGCTTACAAAGCAGGAAGTGTTTACTTGTTAATGGAAGAAAACACTTTTGCTAACCCTGAACTTCCAGGCTCTAAAGTGAAATATTTGGATTTATTTTATTAATGTACATCACAATCCTTTGTACTGCCTTAAACACATTGGATAATTTATTTTAAAGTTATGGAGTCATTAGATTATTGGCGTTATGCCAATCACCTTATTTTATTGTTTTAGCTTTGGATCTTGTGAAGAAGCTGTTAGTAGTGGATCCAAATAAACGTCTTACAACGGAAAAAGCCTTAGAACATCCCTGGCTTCAGGTATGTGTTGAATCATGTATTTAAAGTACAGTACAGCAACGACATTCTGGGAGGGGTACTGCCTATTTGTTATTGTGTGACATATATAAGACTTCATTCACAAGGAACATTATGGCTAGTTAGACTAGCTGTATAAGGTGGCTTAGAACAGTCTCTCTCATGGCTTAAAAGCTCGCTCTTAATGAAAATGCAACAATTGTTCAGTGGTTTGACTTTTCAAGACATTACCAATGTCTGAAGAGGAGTGAGCCAGCAGTTGCCCAGCAGGAGAGTATGCTCCACCCCTCAGACCGTGGAGTGGGGCAGGGGAAGGGTAACTGCTAAGGTCATTAGAGGACCTGTGCAACATGTCAGATCCTTGCTTGAATGGAGCACACAGTGTGGAAGGGGTTCCTTTTGTGACTTCGTTGTCATAAGACCAACTATGGTGCTTGGAATTGGAATATTCCTACTCTGCATTCTTCTGGGTTCACTCACTATTCTGTACCTCGCAGTCCTGTCAATCTCCTGGAGTGGATTAACTGGGTACAGATTTACATTTTAGGTTTTAGTTCTGTGCAGTTTATTTAAACACTGCGTGGTGGGTTCTAAAAACCAGTGATGATGGACATAATGGAAAAGGAGGCAATAAATTACAAGGGATAAAAAATAAGTGGGAGTGGCATTATAGACGAGATGAGAATTTGAGACGTTTCAAAGTGTAGTCAATTGAATCTCTTAAAATTCTGGTTGTATTCCTCCTCTGGGGAGGGTTCTGATTGCCACACTGTAATTTTAGTGAGACTGACAGGCACACTGGTCAGAAAAGAGTTTATAAGAATATCACAGCTGAAAAATGGTGCTTTGGGTTAATGGTCATAATGGGACAGTGAATTCATACGCTATCTTTGCCAAGACACAAATACCAAGCCATTTTTTAATTGACAGATGTGGTCTGGGGTGTTGTCCTGGAAAAGCAATGTTTTGGCCAAAAGGAAATCTGACAAATTATTCAGCATTTAATGGACCATACACATTTGCATCACAGCAGATTTCTTTGGTGTTAACTTGGAAACAGAGTTTTGTATGCAGGATTTTAATCTTGGCTCACTTCACAACTAGCAGGGGAAAGCTGCTTTCATCTGACAAAAATATAGGGGGCAGGAATACTTTACTTTAAGATGGGACTGCTATGGTTTCTACCCTCCACCCACCGAAATCCAAATGTCAGTCAATCCCTATTTTTAGAAATATTTCCTTACATGGCTGGCTGCCATCTTATACGAGTTGTTTGCAGGTGATGTACCCCTGGCTGCTCTGAAGGCCAGCATCCCAAATGTTCAGTTCTAGATGTCAGGCCACTTGAACACCACCAGAGGAGCCACTTGAGCTCCTGTAACTGTGTGCAGTGAGGAGCTGATGGCCCTCCACTCTCTCTGCCATTGTCTGTAAGTATTGTTTTTAAAAACTAGCATAGAAGCAGCACGATGGATGCATGCATCAGATATACAGATGATGTCTATCAGGCCACAAGAGTTTGAAATGTCTTAGTATTTTTAGCTCCTTAGAGAAATGTTCAGCTATTAATAATAATTCAACCCCTCTGTCCAAATTTTCATTTCTGAACACTACATTTTTTAACCAGTAAGACCGCCAATTTAGGGTTGAAATATTTCTCCTGATGTTTAACCTAAAATTAACCGGTTTTTTTTGTTTGTTTGTTTTTTAAACTCCAGTGGTCTACTCAAGACATGGAGCAGAGAGAGCAGCATTCAAGATAGGTTTTATAGTGTCCACTGTTTTTACCTGGGCTCTATTAGGCTTTGTATTCTAGTTTCAAGAAACTAATATTAACAAAATGGATATTAAGCAAGAGATTTCCAAAAGTTCAAATGGCAGTTAGCTACTATTTGTGTCTCTGAAAATCTTACTCTAAAATGCACGGTGACCTATTCTGTATCAGTTTTTCGTGGGTGATCCAGGTTTGATATGAATAAGGCCCATATGCTCCACCATTTTACATGGTCAAAGCTGATTAAATGATGCTGCAGGCCCAGTTTTAGCTCAGCTAGTACTAGTTGAGTATTCTGTGATCCATTGAGGAATGAAAAGATGGGAGAATAGCAATAATATTTTGTTCTTACTTGTGATGCACACAGTAACCAGCTGACCAAAATTCACCATTCTGCTGGTACAGAGACCACAGGATTCTATGGAGGATTGTGCAGACAAATTCACTGAACAGTTACTGTTGCAGTCCTCACAGAATGTTGTCCTTAGAAATTTGTGTGTGTGCGTGTGCGTGCACTAGCCCACGTCTTCTTGGAAGTGATGGACACAAGTGTTGCCTAAGGAGTAAAGAGCTCCCAAAGGACTAGCCACATATTTGACCTAATATCTGGGTCTGCTCTGAGTATACTGTGTCTGTTATTTGCAAAGCTTATGTTGCATGGTTTCACCATCACATCCTACGGTTCCATTCAAGGTATAGTCCACACCTGTATTATCACTGGAGTAGTTTTTCTTGTAGCCCTGGACACTGCTGAACTCAGTGTGTGCCTGTCCTCCCCCACTGGTCATGAGATTTGTGTCTAATCCCACTTCCATCTGTTCGGATATAGATATTCAGGCCTGTCTGTAAAGGCCTATACTGTTAAGAATTTAGGTGTATTCTTATCACTTGGCCAGTTATAGAGGTATAAAAGAAAGAATCAAAATCACTGTCTGCCGGTGTAAGGTCGTTCTCTTACTGTGGCAGTCTGAGGCCCTGTTCTTAGGCTAAGGCCTTTGGCTAAGCAGGAGAGGCAGCCATAAGCTGGGAAGCGAACAGTCGCATCCTCACATTCCAAACTAGTCACATTGAAAGAAGGTGCTATTGGGCTGTTAGGAATACAATCCTGTCCTGATAATGCCTATTGCCTCCAGAGAAAGGGAAGTGCCTAGAAGATGTAAAAGGAAACTTAGTTTGATAGCATCCTGTCTGGCAAGAACTCACTTATCAATAGCTGGGATGTGAAATCCTCATTTCTGTGTTTGTTCTATCACTGGTTTCAGAGTAACAGCCAAGTTAGTCTGTATTTGCAAAAAGAAAAGGAGTACTTGTGGCACCTTAGAGACTAACCAATTTATTTGAGCATAAGCTTTCGTGATGCATCCGGTGAAGTGAGCTGTAGCTCACGAAAGCTTATGCTCAAATAAATTGGTTAGTCTCTAAGGTGCCACAAGTACTCCTTTTCTTTTTGTTCTGTCACTGTCTTCCCCATTTCCCTATTGTTTGTCTGTATAATGTCTGTCTGGTTCTGTGATTGTTTCTGTCTGCTGTATATTTAATTTTGCTGGGTATAAACTAATTAAGGTAGTTGGGATATAATTGGTTAAATAATCATGTTACAATATGTTAGGATTGGTTAGTTAAATTTCAGGAAAATGATTGGTTAAGGTATAGCTAAGCAGAACTCAAGTTTTACTATATAGTCTGCAGTCAATCAGGAAGTGTGTGGGTGGGTGGGGGGGAAATGGGGACAGGGAATGGGGGTGGGAAATTGGAATCATGTTTTGCTAAGGGGTGGGGAATGGGAACAGGGACACAGGTAAGGCTCTGTGGTGTCAGAGCTGGAAAGGGGGACACTAAGGAAAGAAACTGGAATCATGCTTGCTGGAAGTTCACCCCAATAAACATCGAATTGTTTGCGCCTTTGGACTTCGAGTATTGTTGCTCTCTGTTCATGCGAGAAGGACCAGGGAAGTAAGTGGGTGAAGGAATAAGCCCCCTAACACCATCCACAGAGTAATTCGTCTCATTATCGAAGATCTGCTTTTCAGATGCTTGTGGAGTTGTCTTGTAGTAGTTTGAGTCATAACTACAAGGTGGGAATTAAACCAGGGGTTCTCAAATTCATTTGTAGTCTGGATCATATGTTACTAGAGAGATTGCCTGGTTGGACACCACCCCTCACATTAATGACTGTGGACCACCTCTCTTTCCATTTGCCATTGCAAGGTATATCTATGCAGCTACAGCAATAGCTTCCCTGGCAAATAACACTTAGACATTACTTGATGTGTTTTTATTTTTTTAATGTGTGGAGTGCCCTGTCCTCTTTTGGGAAAAGTTAATCATGTTATTTGTGCTGCTTTTTTAAATATAATCTCCCATCAGTTCTGTTTCTTTCTCTCCTTCTGCTCGTACTGTATTTCCACTTGTGCAAGTCTCCCCATTTCCATTGCATGTGTTTCCCAGCCATTTGCTTCCTTTCTCTGTCTGTTGACTGGTTCCTCTTTCCTCCCCTCTTCCTCTTATGCAGCAAACCCTGGCCTAGTAGAAGCAGCAAGATTGGCTTCTTCTCCTTGCTTCCAGCCACTTTTACAGGCAGTGAGGAACCTGGATACCTGTAGCAGGAGCTGAGAACCAGGAGAACAGTATCCTGTGACTAATCAGCCTGTCCACAGACCACCACCATATGCTTCGTGGTTCACAGTTTGGGAATTACCCTATGAGCAAATTGTGTCTCCAGTGGGGGATTGGGTAGGCAGAATCCTATACCCCGTATTACTTAATGTGTGTGTATATATATATGATGCATCGCGGCTAGATGGTTTCTAAATATAAGGCAGAGTGTCATAAGCAAGTTTCCTTTGTGGCTTGCTTGTTCAGGGGATTTGTTGGAAGCACTGAGTCAGGTTAAGAACTTTCTTAGCTCTTGACAACACTCTTTCCATGGCATCCCCCTGTGTCAGACATAGTACAAAACTGTATTTTCCCATTATGCTATGACCACCTTACAATGGCATCATGTGCCCTTTGTAGGTATGGGACTTGTTCACTGTAATTCCCTTTTAGCAAGCTGTTTTCCTCATCCTTTGCAGCTTGTTTAAAATGCAACAGTGTATTTGAGCTGCTGTGATCATATTGCATGTGCCTTGACTTTTGTATATTGGCTCTCTATAAAGTCATTGGCCTTGAGTTTTCAGTCTTGATTTTTAAAGCTTTTAATGGTGTAGGTTCATTAGCAGCTTCCATATCTTCATTCTGACTGACATCTCTGTCCAAACACCACATGCCTTTGCTGTAGTGGCCTCTAGGGTATGAACTTTGCCTCTCAACCCCTCTTTCCCAACTTCTAAATGACACTTTAAAAAAAAAATCCCTAAAAATGCATGGTCACTCCTTGTTAACCCCCCACCCTTTTTTTAACCTTCCTTCTCTTTGTTCATTCATCACTGACTCTGCTTACTCCATTCCCTTTGTTCTTAAAGTCTTAGGCAGCTTTCAGAGTGTCTGATTTTATTGTTCTTTGGTGCCCCAGTCACTTCTGTGTGGTGTATGATGAATCAGTAAATATGTTATAGCAGAAACATATAAATAATTACAGGTTTCAGAGTAGCAGCTGTGTTAGTCTGTATTCGCAAAAAGAAAAGGAGGACTTGTGGCACCTTAGAGACTAACACATTTTTTTGAGCATAAGCTTTCCTGAGCTACAGTTCACTTCATCGGATGCATTCTGATGAAGTGAGCTGTAACTCACGAAAGCTTATGCTCAAATAAATTTGTTAGTCTCTAAGGTGCCACAAATACTCTTTTTCTTTTTATATAAATAATTGTAAGACTTGGTATATTTTCCTGCACCCTTCATAAAGAATGTTACTTTTGAAAGCGCCCTTCAAAGTGAAGCTTTTAATTCCCTCTCCCACCATCACAGGCTGAAGAGGGTTGAATGGAGTCTCTCAATACCTTTCCTAACTAACTTTTGTAGGAATTACTACTAAGTGTGCAGCCTCTTCAGCATTCCCAGCCCCAGCGAGACTGGTCCTGGGAACCTAATTTGAGGAACACATGGTAGTGCAATGCCCTAACCACAGGACTCACCTAACCAGCCATATCTTAGACTTTTTTTCCCCAAACATTCCATGTAACTAAATGTTTATAATTCTTCACAGGATGAAAATATGAAGAGCACATTTCAAGAGCTACTCTCACAAACAAGAGTCTCTATGCATCCACCACAGACATCAAGACTGGTATGTTTTTTGCTTTGTTGTTTTTTAGTTTGCATTTAAAACACGCTGAGTAGGTGTTACCCTGAGTAGGTCACAGCTGAGAGTGCCAGATTCAGGACAAACTACTGAAAAATAGGGCAGACTCACCACAAACTGGTGGTTATTATATCATTAGATTATACCAAGCCAGTAGCAAAAATAAACTTCTGTCTCACTGCACTGGTTAACAAGAAGTCAAAAATGCAGTCTCCTTAAGCATTTAGGCCTTTGTCTCACCACCCAGACACTGGACTCTGACAAGTGGTTACTGAAAACCAATTTAATCAAACATAGGGTCTTTCCAGTCTCAAGAAATTGGGTCAATATATAACTCAGATCTTACCCAATAATCACGCCGCTGCTAATCCTTTAACTAAAATCTAAAGGTTTATTAAGAAAAGCCGAGAGTTAAAATGGTTAATAGATCATATGCATACAATAATTGCAGTGTTCTTATATCAGGTTTGTAGAAGTGATGTTATAGACGGGGGCGGCCAAATTTACTGAATGCCGGAGCCGCATACGACAATCTTCAGAAGTTGGAGAGCTGGGGCACGCTTGCTGGGGCTCAGGTCTTCAGCCACGCGGGAGGTACCTGCTGGAACTCGGGGCTTCAGCCCTGCTCCAGCTGAAGCCCCAAGCCTTGGCAGGCACCCCGCCACCTCCTCCCCTCCCACCGATTTTTGCCAAGGTTTGCTGGCCCTGCTAGGTCACCTGGTGCTGCCAGGTCCCCTTCCTGCATGGCAGCTACTGGCGCTGGCAAGCTGGGAGCTGTGGCATGGGAAGAGGGAGTGGCCACAGCTGGGAGCTACAGGGAGAGCCACTGTTTTGGTGATGCATCTCCCTGAGGAGCTAAAGCAGTGGAAGCTCCCTGCAGCTGTTTGCTGCTGTCTCTCCATGTGGAGCTAACACCTGGGAGCTACAGGGAGGGGCCGCTGAGGGTAAGAGGGGGTGGGTGTCTGGGGGGCATGACTCAAGCTGTTGGGGAGGGGGAGTGAGAATCTTTAAACTGTACCCCCCCACTCTCAGCGGGCACCAGTCATCTCTGGCAGAAGCTCCTAGCCCCACCACCCTGCCTCAGGGTAGAAGCCCCGAGTCTCCCTCCCTCTCCCCCTAGTCTGGTAGGTGGAGAATGGGGGTGTGTGGGGGCTCCGTGAACCTCACTTCAACTGTAAAAGAGCTGCATGTGGCTCGCAAGCTGGCTTGAAAAGTCTCTCTGGTAACTTCCAAAAAATTGGAAGATCCTCAGTCCATCGTTCAATATCTTCCTTTTAGTTGTAAAACCACAGTCCAGAGAATCAGAGCAGAAAAGAGGCAAAATGGAGTCATCTCAGGGATCTTTTCTACCCTTTGCCATGTGCCTGGAAATTTTCTGTTTAAAACAAAGCTCACAGCTCAGTTTGTGGAAAGTTACTGGCACAAAATGGAGTCCAGGATCATATGAGCATATCATCTGTTGTTACATGGCTTGATGACTCTCAGGGGCAGCCATTGCTCATATCCGTGCTGAGGTGTCCACAGGAAGATCTTCCTGGGTATAATGAGTTTCTTCTGTGGCCCATTATGAGAGCTAAGTGTATTTAATGGGCCACCAAACTTGAATAGTCCATTCACAATGTGCTGGCTAAACTGGATGTAAACTACCTTGTGGAACAAGGAACAAACACATTTGAGATACAGATATATAGCCTATGTCCATAGCTTCAGATACAGTGAATACATGGATTTAAACAGATAACTTTATTTGGAAAATCATAACTTTTCCATTGACTCCTTACAAGATATACTTCGTACAAAATCTGTTGCAATTGTCTAACAGTGGCAATAAATATCATTGATATAAATGGTCATATTTCAATCATGCAGCATCACAGTAGGAATAAAATGAAATTTTATAAGCAGAGAAATTGAGATTAGAAAGAAATCCATTTATAGTAGTAAAAATTGATTTTGAATATTTATCCTGCAGAAACTTATAATTTCAAGCTAGTGTGGCAGGGAGGGATAGCTCAGTGGTTTAAGCATTGGCCTGCTAAACCCGGGGTTGTGAGTTCAATCCTTGAGGGGGCCATTTAGGGATTTGGGGCAAAAATTGGGGGTTGGACTAGATGATCTCCAGAGGTCCCTTCCAACCCTGATATTCTATGATTACACCCCTGCCTCTGCTCTGTGCTGGTTAGCTCTGTCAGTTACTATACCTTTTACCAGTAGAATCAGTAGGTATCATCAAAGCACTTAAGTATGTGGTTAATTCTAAGTGCATAAATTGTCCCAGTAGACTTCAATAGGACTATTCTTGTGCTTAAAATGAACCATATGCTTGAGTATATTTGATCATCATAGCTTTAAAGACCCAGATACTTAATATCCTAGGAAGAACTGATATTAACTGAAGGCTGGAGATTGTGTGTAGGGTTGTCACTGTAAGATAGTAAGAAGGAAAGATAAGAGTAAGATTGGGGAGCTGGGTGCTTCCTTGTATTTTATTTTACTTTTTTGAGGGGAAAGAATGGAGAGAGAGAAGGGATTAAGAGCAGCTGTCTGATGTTAGGTTTCAGAGTAGCAGCCGTGTTAGTCTGTATCCGCAAAAAGAAAAGGAGTACTTGTGGCACCTTAGAGACTAACCAATTTATTTGAGCATAAGCTTTCGTGAGCTACAGCTCACTTCATCGGATGCGTCCACATGCATCCAATGAAGTGAGCTGTAGCTCACGAAAGCTTATGCTCAAATAAATTGGTTAGTCTCTAAGGTGCCACAAGTACTTTTTGTCTGATGTTAGAGGATCATATATGCTTGCTGATTGGGGAGGCCATTGCCAGTTCCCACTGTCTTGCGGATAACGTAAGGATCATCCCGTCCTTAAAACAGGTAGCTATTTCTGCATCATTGCTGTAAATAAATCCAGCTCAGATGCCTTGTTTGTAATCAGAACTTTTAATATGTTCTTAAATTGTTTATCACATTTAGTTTAAGTCTGAAAGAAATTATTTGTTGCGGTTCCTTGATCAGATTTTTTGTGCATCATCCCTCAGAGTGTTCATCTGGTTGGTGTCAGTCCAGGAAAAATTGACACATGAGGGGGCTTTGATGTAACCAGGACAAATAAAACTGACAACAAATGTGAGTTTACTAAATGACAGATGATCAAGAAAGAGAGAGAACTAGTCATATTAATTTTATGGAGTGACAGGCAACCTGATAAATGGTTTTAAGGATTGGTAATGGTGAGAGTGCAGATGATGATGACTGAATCTTTTTCCATGGTTGATTGTGTTTTTGCTCTCAGTTGTCATATGGGAGGCAGCAAAGAGAGTTTTCTTAAACATCTTGAACTCACAGTAGGCATGATAGTTGGGCTCTGCCTCCATTCTGAACATATATTAAAATTAAAGGTGTTAGGTATTTGTGTTTGACTTGCATAGACATGCTCCTGCCTCTTTCTTTTAGCCAACCACAACCAGAAAACGTCCCCATGAAAAGGAAGAGGAATCTGGCTCTTCTAAGCATGCTGTTCCTTCGACATCATTTCAGGAAAAAAAGTGAAGGAAAGTAAACTTACTTGAATTGCTGTTTTTGTCTATCGATTATACAGATTTTTATAAGAAATGTTTTTCTCTTAATAGTGGAATAATTGTTCTGTACTAATAATTGATAAATAAAAATAACTTTGTAAGAATGGAGTGACTCACTGAATTGGACAACAGCTTGTGGGGATTCCCATACATACAAGGTAAAATACCAAGCAAACTACCACCTGCCCTCAAACTTCTTTCTGGGGCAAAGTTATCAAGAGGGTGATGGCAGGCCAACTCCATAAGCAATGGGACCCTCCCTGGTAGTTTGGACCTCTGTCATTCTGGTTTCATAGTGCTGGAATGGCACAGAGATGGTATTCACAACACTAATGGATTACCTCAGGGCTCAGAAGTGAAATATACTTGCTAATGTTGCTGGACTTTCTCAACCATTGACACCGTTTCATCATAAGGAAATGCCCTATGGGAACCCATAACAGGAATTTGCTTCAAGGTGATTCAGTCATTCAAATGATTCCAGAGCATGTGATGAACAGCTGATCCTCTTCCCCCACAGGCCATTACCTGAAATGTACCACAGGTATCAAACTTTATTTTGCACTTATATGAAGCTACTGGTAGAGACTGAGATGGTATGGGCTTCAGAAACAATTAGATGGTAAATTCTGGGTGACAGAGTCCATGGCTTTCTGTTTCTGTAAACTGCCTAGTATGCTTTCAGCTGCTGTAAAAACAAATGATGCCATCAATATATGGTTGGCATCTAGTTCTGTCTCCTTCTCAACAAATGTTTACATTATTTACCTTAGAAAGGGGATGAATAAGAAGGGACATTATAAGAGTATATAAAATATTTAATATCTAGAGAAGTAGGTAATGAGAAGTTCTTTGAGTGCTTGCTCATGTCCATTCCACGTTAGATGTGCATGTGCTGCATGCACCATCACCAGAGATTTTTTCCTTCAGTGGTATCCGTGAGGCTGGCTCTCGCACCCTCTGGTGCTGTACGCTCAGGCACCAGTATAAGGGGCCCGGCTGGTCCCGCACCCCCTTGGCTCCTTCTCACCACCCAGGACGGTTGATGAAACAACTTATCTTGCTTTGGCAAGGTGATCATTCAGTGGTTTTTCCTGTTGTTCTCTAGTTTAGTTACATTCAGTTTTAATTTCTAGTAGTAGTGTACGTAGTGTAGATATTTTTAATTTATATAACTAGACCCCCTCTCTTAGCTTAGAGGGGTTCCTTTCACCCTTGGGGCAGGACATACCCCAGTCTCTGGACTTCAAACCTTGTGCCTCCTGTGCCAAGCCTATGCTGCTGAGAGACCCATACTCCAGCTGTCCGAAGTGCCCGGGAGAAGCTCATGTATAAGAACGTTGCCAAATCTTCGGCAACTACAAGCCCTTGTACAAAAAAGGACAGGGAGGCTAGACTAAGAGCTGTCCTAATGGAAGCTGCTCTTAGGTCGGCATCAGAGTCAAGCCGGTCGGACTGAGCACCTCCGCTTTGGTGCGAATCTCCCCTCAGGCACTGTGTTTCTTGGTACTGGAGAGGGGGAACAGTACGAAGAAAGAAACACAAGAAATAAGGGTCAGAGAGGGGGCACTCCCCAGTACCAAGGAAGGACAAACAAGGGGAATACAGCAGAGTACAACCTGTGTTGGGCCACTCCTCCATTCCTGTTCTGCTAGTGCCACCTTTGACTCCTCCCTGCTTGCAGGTGCTGATAAGTCCACTGCAGGACCATCCTCCAACTCTGGGAAGACATCATGGAACGAGTAGGATCGCATTGCCTTCCACCCTGGAGGCCTTTGCAGCTGCCAGGGACCTGATGACATTCCTGGTTCCTCCGACCCAATGGGACAACTACTGGCTCTGATGAGCATGAGCAGAAGGGAGCACATTGCCTCAAGCTGATACCCAGCACTGGGCCCTTCGGTGCTGACTAGAGGAAAAACAGCCCTTCTGTCATCAGTGAAATCTTCACAGCTCTTCACCAGGGTCTCCTTAAGAGGACTAGTCCTCGGAGTTGGACCCCACCACACAACCAAGGGGTCATCGCCAATACCCACCCTATGTTCCACTAGATCTTGGTGTGGGCCCTCCCCCTGGCACCTGGCCCAGAGGTAAGTGGCCGATGCAGGTCCAGTGGCCAATCAAATTTCCATGGGGTTTTACTCCGGTACTGGAACCACCACCCAGCTGTTTCTACTAGGTGGTGTCCGAGAGGAGGGCTCCTCCACTGCACCGTCTGGCTGAACCAGTAGCAAGCCTGGTACTGACATGCAGGACTTAGGCCTAGGTGATATCTTTGGGGCTGAAGAAGAAGAGGAAGGCCCCCCCGCACTGGTACAGGCCTCTTCCTCCTCCTACCCGGATGAAGCTGTCTCGGGACCAAGCAGCTTGGTGCCTCAGGACAACTTTAGAGCTCATCAGGAGCTATTCAAAAGGGTAGCTTCTAACCTGGGGCTAGAGGTGGAGGTTCTTAGAGTCCTCACGTAGCCTTATTGACATTTTGGCTACGGTGGTCCTGTCAAAGGTGGCCCTACCCCTCAATGAGGCCATTATGGGTCCAGTCAGGTCTCTATGGCAGACCCTATTCTCTCTCCCTCCCTCCCACCTCAAGGGCAGAGAAAAACTACTATGTGTCTGCCAAGGGGTATGAATACCTGTACTTCCACCCTCCTCTCAGATCTCTTATAGTCACAGTGGCCAATGAGAGGGACAGGCATGGAGAGCTAGGTGTGACCCTGAAGCAAAAGGACTTAAAGAAGCTAGACCTGTTCTGTAGGAAGATTGGGTTATAGCTTTGCATTTCCAACCAAGAAGCTTTGCTTGGGAGGTATGATTACAACATTTGGGACTTCATGGCAAAGTTTAAAGACTTACTGCCATAAGACTCCAGGTAAGAGTTTTCTGCCCTAATGGAGGAAGGGAAGACCATAGCCTGAGCCTCCCTCCAAGTGGCCCAGGATGCAGCTGATGTGGCAGCCAGAACAATGGCTTTGGCCATGGTTATGAGTAAATGCTCCTGGCTCCAATCCTTGGGGTTGCCACCTGAGGTCCAACAGTTCATCCATGATTTTTCCTTTGAGGGTACCACCTCCTCCTTGGAGCAGATGGACTCGAAGCTCCATGGTCTGAAGGACTTCAGAGCTACCCTCACATCCCTGGAACCTTTGAGGAAGCATATCAGGCCTCAACAGCCAACCCACTTCTTGGCTCCTCTGCCCTGCCAGGAGCTGTTTAAAAAACAGAGCAGGGGTTACAAGCACAGGCAACCGCTCCCCTCCACTTCAACCTCACTACTGGGTTCACACAGGTATCTGGGAGGCCCCAAACAAAATGTTTGAAGGTACGCCCGAGAGCATTATCAATTCCTGCACTGGATCCTGCCCCGTTTTTGTTTTCAGACCATCTCTCCTACTTCAGCCCAGTGTGGTCCCTCATCACCTCGGACTGCTGGATGCTCAGTACAGCAGAGGAAGGTTACACCCTTCAGGTTTCTTCCTCCCACCTGCCACCCTGTCCCTTGTCAGGGACCTTTCTCACAAGCAACTTCTAGTCCACGAGGCACAAGCCCTCCTTCATGTAGGGACTGTGGAGGTGATGCCCCAGAATGGGAAAAGAGAAGAGATTTTACTCTCATTATTTCCTAATCCCGAAAGCCAGAGGGGCTCTCTGACCCATCCTAGACCTGCACTGCCTCAACAATTATCTCAGGAAACTGAGGTTCTGCATGGTTTCCCTGGTCTCTGCTATTTTCTCTCTGGATACAGGAGACTGGTACACCACCCTTGACTTCAAAAATCCCTATTTCCACATCTCCATCTTCCAGGGCCACAGAAGGTTCCTCAGATTTATCATAAACCAGCCTCATTACCAGTTCACTGTCCTGCCCTTGGACTGTCAGCAGCCCCTTGGGTTTTCACAAAATGCATGGACTCTGTGCTCATAGTTCTCGCTCCCCTTGACTGGTGGAGGGATTCCTGAGTGGTGGCTGCAGGTGTTCCCTTTGTCACCTCCAAGCCTTCAGTATCCCAAATTTCAGATGCACCTGATCTAGGCTGGTGGACTCACCTTGGAATGCTGGGCCTGTTGGAATGCTTTCCTTGCACATAAACTTCAGCCCCAGATGGCAGGGCTCGGACTATCAGCCCTGCGTGGTGTATGTGGGCTATCAGCCCTCTGTGGTTTATGTATTGCCCAGGTCCTGGCTGTGACTTTTGCTAAAACTACCTGTGCTAAAATCTTAGCCTTGATTATGATAGATAGCATCACACTAGGACTTCTGTTGTGTTAGTTATGGGAGTCAAAACCCAAACCTGATAACTGGATGTACAAAGAGGAATATCTAGTAAGATGGAGGTGATACTAGTGTATATGATGGTGAGGAAGCACTGCTGTGTTCATGCCTCACAAATGATATTGAAAAACGTGGAAAGAGAATCTACAAAAAGGACTTGTCATCTGGACACTACTTCCCCTGAGAGACTAACGCCTGGATGAGACCAGGAAATTAGGTCACTATAACTACATTGCTCAAAAATCCACACCCCTGAGTGACATGGTTAAATCAGCCTAACCCCTGCTGTAGACAGTGCTGGGCTGATGGGAGAATTCTCAGCTCCTGCATCTCGGGTAGGTGGAGTAGCTAGGCCAACATGAGATCCCCTCCCCTTGGCACAGGCCAATTGGCGCCAATTTACTGAGGCGCTGGAGCGGCCTCGCTGCGGCGGTGCCAACTGTAGCAGTTTACAGGTAGATCAGCCCTAAGTCTTGCATAGCCCTGTTGGTCCGAAGCTATGAGAGAGACGGTGGTTGAGGTAATGTCTCTGGGTGAGAGAGAGAGAGAAGCTTTCAAGCTATGCACAGTTCTTCTTGAGGCCTGAGGTCCTCAGAGCACCCTTCTCCGAGCCGAGGAAGAGTTCCCTGTAG